ACATATTGAGCAGTTCTGAGCTGTGGAGACCACCTTGACTTGAAATGCTGTTGACTCTGCTGGGGTCCGGCCCACTTAACTATATGGTAAATCATGAGCTTTTTGGTTTTGAACTAATATGCATAGTTCGCACTATATGGGGAAGTGGTGTTACCACTAAGGCAGTGTTTTTAGTTGCACTTGGGTATAACTGTTTTTCTGGCATCGGGTACTACCTGCAGAGGTAATGTATTCTTAATCTTCCACTTGCTGCTGGAGTGGGAAGATCCTGGCTTTATGCCCACTTTATGGAAATAGGAGGCACTTCTCCAGCTTGCTCCTGCACCCTTATGCCTGAGGGCAAGCAAAACTTGGGGGCATCCAAACCCTGAGCTTCCAGGCTTGGTCCTGCACATAGGATTCCTGCCAAAGGACTTGGAAACATCTGAAGACCCAGGTGTGGCAGAGGATATTTGCCAGTAGTAGGGCCACTTGTGGTTCTGGGTCGACTCAGGTTTGGAATTGATTTGGCTTGGAACACAAAACATCCCCACCCCACCCCCTAACAAAGTTTGTACTATATATAAGTAGGTGCCAAAGTGCTGCTTATATAAATGTGTTTATGGAGCACCTGTGCTAAAACTTGCAGCAGTTTCCCAAAAAGGTAACATTCATCAATTCTGCATGAACTAAGTCTATAGGCAGTACATTCAAACTACTACACCTATGTTTAGTTTCAAGGTCAGTGGCTGCATCTACACGAGAAGCTTGTTACTACTGCGCAGTAGCATCATGTGGCAGAAAGCATGACATGATGCTATTGCACACTAGAAATGAGCTACTGCACAATCAGCCTGACCTAGAAGCCATTCAGTGATATTATTGCGCAGTAACTCTGGTTACTGCTCAGTCACTTAGTGCTTGTGTAAACAAGTACTAAATGACTGCATTGTAATGACTGAGCAGTCAGTGTCTCATGTAGACGTGGCCAGTGTTTTCAAATTTGCTTCTCACTTCTATGGACACAGGGAAAGCAGGGTCTGAGAGCAAGAAGTGAAGGAAGAGGCTGCAGGGGAAAGAAGATGGGGGAAGGCAGAGGGCAAAGGGGACACCTGAAACACCCCCAGATTTATTTTTGCTGCTGTAGCAGTGGGATGGAGACAAATTCAAGGCAAACCTCCAATAACTAGATTTTATACCTGTAAAATTATAATAAATTAAAAATTTTCCTAATGTAGAATTTAATTATTGGGGGGGCTTGTCCTATAATCAAAGTAATTTTATGTTTGAGTAAATGCAGTATTTCTATTATAGTGGCAGCACCTTCAAACATCAGCAAAACTGAACTGGTAATGATATGAAATGCTGTGATGTTAACAATGAGATAAACTCAATTCACATTGTAAAGGAAATACAGCTAAAACAAATATAGAAAAGGTCAGGGTCAATTTTCATGTGCCTCTGTATATGTGCCACTTTATTTTATGTTACAATGAAAATTGAAAGCAAAAGATCAGTTCAGAAAAAGTGGAAGGAGGGTGGGCAGCTTAAGGTTTGGGAATGCTATGGAAAGGGGAGCTGAACTGTAAGAAAAGGGGGCTTGGACCACCTATGGTTTTTAGAGGACACAGATTTTAAATTCCATGGTTCATCAGATATCTGCAGGGAGTAAGTAGGGTTCCATACACTGTTCAGGAGGTCAGGATGTAAAGGGTATGACTATTTTGCCAGCACTGTACAGTAACTCCAGGCCATGTCGACATGCCCAAACCCATTTTAAACTGGCAAGTACAGGGGTAATAGCAGGCGCGCTGCAGTGGTGGTGGTGGTGGGAGGAGTGGGTCTGGGCCCCCACGCAGGGGGGGAGGAGGCTTGAGCCCGAACTGGGAGAGAAGCTGGGCCAATGCAGCAGGGGGAGCAGTGGGCCTGGGCTGACCCAATGGTGGCAGTAGCGGTGGTGGGGGAGGGAGCAGTGGGCTCGGAGCCAACCGGGGCGGGGAGGGGGAGGAGTAGGCCCAGGCCCAAGGCGGGAAGAAGGCTTGCTACTCTTCTCCCACAGCCGCTGCCTTGTCAGGCTGGGCCCACTGCTCCCCCCACTGCTGCTGCGGGCAGGTTTCTCCCCTGGCTTGTGCTTGGGCCTCCTCCCCGGCTCAGGCTTGGGCTGCCTCCCCTGCTCGGGCCCTGGTCCACTCCTCCCCTTCCTCCCCCCGTCAGCTCCGAGCCCACTCCTCCCGTTCCCTTGCTGCCATCAGGTCAGCCCAGGCTGTGGCGGCCCGGCTTCTCCCCACCCTTGGGCCCAGTCCTCCCCCTCATCGGGCCTGGGCCCAGACCCCAAGCAGCAGGAGGTAAAAGGGGGAGCAGACCTGGGCAGCGGGGGTGGGCACGGGGCTCCGTCCCCACACGCTCTCTTCCCCTCCCATTCCTGATGGGCAGTTGGCTAGTGTGTGTCTGTGTGTATATGTATATGTACACACTTCTGTGGAGTAAGTTGGCTGTTTGTACAGCCTTGAAAGAGTCTTATTAAATTCTAAGTAGCCTTATATTCTTAAATCATCCTTACGGCTCTACCTAACATAATAGTAGGTGTGTCTACACCAGATGTTTATTGCCTAGTTAGCTCCACAGTAAAGTCTCAGCGTTTACACATGCAGCTCTATTAGGCTGCAGTAAACTCCTAAATGCTGCTGTAGATTAGTATTTGTAAACACAAGCGCTATGCTGCAGCAGCATTTAATGCACCACAATGCACGTGTAGATGCTGACGGCGCTGGCTGGGGCATGAGGATGCTTCAGTGTAGGGACTGCCTGCCAGCTAACCCTGCATTGGAGCACCCCTGTGCTCCAGCCAGCCCCTCCCACCACACTGAGCTGGGTCAGAGTAGTCTCAGGTTTGGCAGGCTGACCCCTGGGGCTCCCTGCCAGCTGCAGCTGCTCCAATCCATCTCAACGTGCTGCAGTTCCAGGTGCATGTGTAAACACAGCACCTGGGAACAATAAACGCTGATGCGAACTGCATTGGGTTTATCATTCACATTATAGTGCATGTAGACATGCCCAGTGTTATCCAAGTATCATAGAGGGCATAATTTGGCTCCTAAGACATTATTGGTAGCAATGACAGTTCAGAAGAAAAGAATGCAGTTTGATACTCAGATTGCAGGTTCATTTGCGAGGTGGACAGTTTTAACTTAATCTGAAAATTAGAGTGCTATAATGCAACCTTGGGACAGTCACTATTCAGTGCAGAATTGTATTTTTAAGAGTGTCTGTTTTCATCCTCTGACAAGTTTGCTAACTGCCTATATAAATGTTACTAATGAAACCTGTCCAAGTTTGGTTTAAGGAAAAACTGATAGCACACGTTAGATGTTGTTTCAAGGTCTATAAAAGTGAAGTCCCCATCCACATCTGCTTGCAGTGAAAACATCTAGTGACAGGAATGTCATTAAAGTATTACAGAAATGATCTAGTTGATTACTACACCGTAAATAAAATTAGGAGCAAGAAACATAATAAGCATCTTTTTGGAGTGGCTGCCATATTTTGAAGACCTCAAAGTTCTAAGAGATAAGAGGCTCATATCGTGTTTTAATTGCATGCATTGTAAATTTTGAATATCTACCTAACAGTCAAAATATGATTGGCATCATTAGTGCCAAGGGTCTAGTTCTCTGATAGGGTTTCCTGACCCAATGTGCCTTTAAAAATAATACTGCTTTTCTGAAGGCTTGTCTTTCCTCTTTAGGTGTTCATACTTTCATGCCTGTGTTTTTATTAACAAAGTTGAGATGTCTTCCTCCTCCAGCATTTTTCATGATTTTGCTAATTTGTAGAAGAGCTGTAGTGATTTAAAGTACTTGGAAAACAACATATTACTTACAATAGTTTTGACTTTTGAGCTGTATTGCTCTTTCCTCTGTGCACTGTAGACTGTATGCTACAATTAAGACAATTATGTATAAAGGCATGCATGTGTGAATGTGAATTTTTAGATAAATATCATGCAAATGGATTGGGGTGCCTAGCCCTACTGCCTTGCAAGCTGGCTTTGCTCCCCTGGGAGCCCTTCTGCTGGTCTTTTTAATATGAACAATCAACTTTGTCCCAAAAAAAGAAAAGAAAAAAGTAAAGCACAACTTTAACCTTTCTTCAGGGGGCAGGAAAGGCCCTTGTAGCTCTGGCCCCTTCTTAATAGTGAGCTCTTTTGAGTTCCAGGCTGCTTCCTAGCCATAAACTCTTTGTTCCCAGCTTGAGCTCTTTGCTCTTTCTCCCTAAGGGGTTTTAACTTCCAGCTATTCACCCACTGCTGGGTTCCTACCCCAGGGCTGTCCATCTACCTTAAAGGCCAGACCACCCTGTTAGAGATACCATATCAATATTTCAAAGGTTCAGATTAAGGCATGATCAAACATTGTATTTAGTAAATATCTGCAGATGAACATGCAAACTACAGAAAATATATATAGAGGAGGACAAAGAAGTCTCACAACAGGAATCTTAAATCCTGAAACCACTCAATTAGCTTGAGTTAAAAGATCATCATATTCATGATCAACCCATGATCACACAAGTTATGAAGTTAAGACAATATTCACTACTGTAGGTATTTCAGTTCTGATCAAGTCTCAAATACATTAAATATAGTTTTTTGAATGTTTGTGTCTCAAATGTGGACATTTCAGACGAGCTTATTTTAAATGTCAAGGTGACAAATTTGTGAATACAAACTGAGCTCCCAAAACTTCTTCAATACAAAGATAACTGCTTACAAGAACAGCTTGCAAGTTTGTGGCACCGTCCATTCCAAACTCTATGCCTTTATTAAGCTTCTTACCCAGTCTGATCTATAAAACTGACCTAGACCTGAACAACGGTGCACCAGCCATTCCATCTGTTGGCTTTCCTGGTCTTTCACTTCTTGGTTTCAGGTGTCCGCCTTATTTCAAAGCTATAAATTCTTGTTGTTTTAATGAATTGAAGAGACAAGTTTGGATTTGATAGGAAAAAGAGTTAACTGGAAATGCTTGATAAAGTTTCTTTTAATAGAGGAAGCAAAATGAGTATATGCAAGTGATACACTACTAAATACAAATCCAAGTAATCTGATGTCCTTATGTAGTAAAAACACTTTAATACTGTTTTTCTCCTGATAGCCTTCAACATGATCGTCTTCTTTCGGTAACTATTTAGTAGCCCATAACTCTTTCATTTTTATACACGACTTTTCCTTTAACAATAACATATTCAATCAATTCTTGATGTCCCCCAAACTGGTAAATCAAGTGCTCCCACCTAAAAAGACAATAAAGCATTTTGGTAATTCAATACCTTCATAAAAACAGATCACACACATCATAAAGGGCCTGCTTGAATTACAAGAAACAAATATTTGTCAATTATTTATTGATCCTTTGTCTCAATATTATCAGACAATATTATATTAATAGAGTGAGTTAACATAGAAATCGGTAGTGAATTTCTTGTACTGTTTTCAGTTAAATTTGTAAAAAACCCCCTTTTAAATATATATGGTTCTAGGTTTTAATCTTATCATCATGGGCTGCAGTCTCCACAGGAGTGATTTATATCTATTGAACAGGAATACAAACTTAGGTGTAAAATGTTCCTACTGTACAGATTTAACGATTCCAAAGGTATAGGACAATGGAAAATCAGACTCTCTTGTCTTAAATTAGGTTTTAAATACCAGTGTAAGTACCTACCTTGATGAATTAATGACAATAAAATTGCCTTGTTTGCCAATCTCTATGGAGCCATGTGTATGGGATCTTCCCAAAGCATAAGCTGCATTAATGGTGGCAGCTGCTAATGCTTCATTCATTGACATTTTCATATTTACACAGGCCAAATGCATTACCATGGGCTAATAAAAAGGGAGAGGAAAACAGGAAAAAAAAGTCAGCTACCTGTTCCATAATGCCCAAAGCTCCCCATGATGGGTGAGAAAAATAGCAAAATACAAGACACAAGTTCATTTTTAAACAGGAAATGGAAACACTGGATGTTTCTTCCTTCTACAGAACTGTCTGGGCCTCCCAATTCAGATGTGAAAATCAGGAACTTCTCAGTCTTCAAAGAATTTATGGGGACTAGTTTCTGAGTTTGATACAGAGCTGTGGCAATTATTTTAAACTGAGGATATAGTTCTCAGGCTGTGTATTAAGAAGGCTCCTAATCGAGCAAGGCCTCGCCAGAAGTAAGAGCATGTTGGACAGATGCTTGGTTGGGATGGCTTAGTCAGGGACAATCCTACCTTGAGCAGGGGGTTAGACTAGGTGATCTCATGAGGTCTCTTCCAGCTCTACTTTCCTGTGATTCCATGAGTAGGGCTGTGCGAAGCTTCAGTCACTGATTCGATTTGGAGGAGATTTGGCGGCCAAATCTCCGAATCTGAATTGAACTGGGAGACCCATTCATAGGTCTGAATGGAATCCAAAACCTCTGAACCGATTCGGAAGATTCTGATCGGCCAGGGAGATGTAGGCACAGCCAGGTGACTGCAGGTTCTCCCATGGCTCCTCTGGCTGTGCCTGCCTCACCCCAGGCGGGGGGAGCCGTGGGACAAGGCCCCATGGCTGCCCTGCCCGGCCCCAGCCTCCTGGCACTTAAAATAAAAAAAAAAAGCCAGGCACTCGCTCTGGCAGCGGCAATCAGGGCCTCTGAGAGCTTGTGGCAGAGCCCCACCTCCAAGGGCAGAGCAGTGGGGATTGCCCTCCCCCACTGCCTGGCACCTGTGCGGCAGCTGCCCCATGGAGCAGGTGCAGCATGGCTCTGCATGCTGTCTGGGAGCTGGGGCCACTGGGGCTAAATGGTGCCAGGCTCTGGCTGACAGGTGGAACCACCCCAGCTCCCAGACAGCGCGTGGCACCCTGCTGAGCCACGCTGCACCTGGGGCGCAGGTGCCAGGTGGGGGGGGCAGGGCAATCCCCACTGCCTCATGCTGTGCAGTAGGGCTCTGCCACAGGCCCTCAGAGGCCCTGATCACTGCTGCTGCAGCTAGTGAGTGCAGGGCTTTTTTTTTTTTAAGAGCTGGGATGCTGGGGCCAAGCGGGGCAGCCATTGACAGGGCTGGGGGGGGGGGCAGGGGTCAGGGGGGGGCTTCTCCTGTGGCTCCCCCAGCCTGGGGAGAGGCAGGCACAGCCAGATGAGCCACGAAAGAACCTGTAGCCACCCAGCTGTGCCTGCCTCTCCCTGGCCAATCCAAATCTTCGAATCAGTGCTGAATCAGCACTGAATCTCTGATTCTGATTCGGCTGAATCGAATGGGGACAGCGATTCGAATCACCAAATCGAATCACTGTCCTCTGAATCAGCCGAATCTGAACACAAATTGAATACTTCCCTATTCGCACAGGCCTATCCATGAGCTGTGACTGTCGGAGACTGTTAGCAACTGGGGGTAGTGTAATATGCATAAAGAATATCTTACCATAGAAAAGCAGTATGCATTAGGATTAAAATCACTGCCAAGAGCAACAATAACGCCTTCTTGTAACATTTTTCTAGCCTGAGGTTGTTTCAGTCTAGAAGAAAATATCAATGTCAATACAGGACATCCAGCTATTACAATTTGCATTACTATGGAATAAAAATCTTTGTTGAGTTTGGATACTATATGCTTTCAGTTTCACTAACTGCTTTGCAGGAAAAAGACCAAACTTTGCTTTCTACTCCATACCCAAAACCCTAATGATGTTGTGCACTGCTCTTGCAGTAGCTGTAATTAGTTTACTTAGTTTATTATAGTTCTATCAAGCACCTGCCCTTCAGGCCTCTGTAGTTAAGGTTACTCATCCTCCAGGACAATTGCAGATTTTGCAAAATCCATTTTCATTTTTTTAAATGTAGTTCTTGATCTTATGGTTGTAGAGAACCTTCCAAACATGAGCAGTTTGTAGAATTCTCTTCCTGAACTGACAGACAACCTAAAACAACTCTGAAATGCAAAAATGTTTATTTCCCCATTCATCTCAATGAGATGTTAACACTTCTGTTTAATTAGGACGCATCAAAGGATTTTTTAACAAAAGGTCTTCACTTGTGCATCTACTTTGTGCAAATCCTGGAAGGTAAGTAGGTAAATTGAGTAAGTGTATGTTCAAGTGACCAAAAGGCCAGATACACTAGTTAATACAAGTGCTGTCCTTTTTCCTCACTGAACGATGCTGAATGCAAAGGTAACTTGACTAGCTCAAAGGTTAGCTACTACATAAAGTCATAATTCAACACCAGCAATTATACAAACCTCCCACAATCAATGGGATATCTCCTGTGAGCTGACCCTCAGCAACAAATAAAAGTTTAATATATTCCTCTCTCCACGTTATGACACTGAGATCCTTGATCAAATTAGACAGCAGTTGGAAATTTCATTTTGAGTGTGCTCATGTGAGCCTGGACCCTATAAACACTTCACAAATGCTTAACGTTATTGCCATGGGTAGTTCTGTTGAAATAAATGAAGTTACTTAGGACACTAAAGTTAAACACTTGCATAAGAGATTGCAGAATCTTTGTTAAGAAAGCTACTTTGAACTGAGAACTGTTTTAGTCATTGTGCAGCAAATCGAAATGGAATTGGATGTTGCCCCTAGAAATAAATCAATGGAGAAAAAATTAAAGGTTTTCAGATGACTATTTACTATTTTTAAAATTCATTTTGTGTGGATTTAAATTAACTTAAAAAGAACAATTAATAATATCTTTATTCAATTAGAATAGTCTTAGTCCAATATAATGAAATACAGAAATATGTGACAGTAAATCAGTGAGAAAACAATGCCTGTTCTTTGAATTGTATCATGCTATGATAATTACTATACTTGAAATGTTTCTTTTAAGGTGCTCCTATGTTTCACGTGCCATTTTACCTTCATATTCCTTGGATACACTGATCTGAGGGAATGAAAAAAGACTAACAAAAGGTCCAACTGGGAGACTGCTGTCTTGGATTCTTTGGGCCAACTCCTGTACACTTGCTACTGCACACTTAGGAGCTGCAGTGGCCTCATCCTGGGAGAGTGCAGACTTCTTGATTACTATTAATGTGAAAAGGAGTTGAGGGGAATCTGCATCTCATTGGATGTGCTTTCTTGCTCTTCAGTAGCCATTTATCACCCTCCTTCTTAGCACCTCTCAGATTATGGATCTTTACTAACTAGTCAAACTAGTTTCTCAGCACCGTCTTTTATACTACTTTGATTTTAATTTCTTGGCGTCATTAGTGTATTAGCCAATCCATGAAAGGATTTTACCAAAATGAAGCTATTGTTGCTATATTTCTGGTTTTAAAGATAAAGTGAGGTTGTCCTTTTATACCTGGAAAAGCGCAGGCTCAGGGGTGACTTAGTGGCTGCCTATAATTTATAAGGGGTGTACATCAGGATCTGGGGGAACACCTGTTTACCAGAGCATCCCAAGGACGACAAGGTCAAACAGTCACAAACTCCTCCAAGACCGTTTTAGGCTGGACATAAGGAAAAACTTCTTTACCGTCTGAGCCCCCAAGGCCTGGAATAGAGTGCCTCAGAGGTGGTGCAAGCACCTACTCTGGACTCCTTTCAGAAGTGTTTGGATGCTTATCTTGCTGAGATCCTTTGACCCCAGCTGACTTTCTGCCCCTGGGGCAGGGGGCTGGACTCAATCATCTTCTGAGGTCCCTTCCAGCCCTAGTGTCTAAGAAATCTGCATATTTTAAATATCTGTCAAATGCAACTAGAGCTTTTGAGAAAACTTCTAATGCTGTCTGCTTAGAATCAAAGTTTCTGAAATGAGACCTACAATCTTTCACCTGGCTAGAGAAAGAAATGGTCCATTTCTTAACATCATGCTACTGTAGAAACAAGTGAGCAAATACGCATATTGCAGATATAATTTGAATTAATGAAAACTAACCAGTTTGTATCTTCAGTTGATATCTTGATGTTTTAATTAATTTATCAGCTAGATTAATATGTATTAATGGAATCACTGAGTTAAGAAAGTCAAGGATCTGACTCCAATTCTTGAATAAGACTCTCAAGCCTCAAAATGTTTCTGCTGTTACAGATGTGACTATACTTTTCAATCCATTAAAATATTACCTCAGCATGTAGGCAGTAGTTGGTAAAAGGACAGCTGCACACTTAGCCTTTGCCATAGCAGCGATGCCTTCATCACTAATTTCTTCCAGATGGCTTATAGCTTGTGCTCCTAATTCAGCTCCAAGCTAAGTAGCGCGTAAAAAAAAAACATTAACAGAAAAATCAGTCAGCGATACCAATGAATTGTTGGAGCAATGTCCCTATCAAAGTTCTTGGACAGATAATTTGTTATGGCAATTATGTATAATGCTATTGTACACAAATTGTGCATAAAACTTAAAATGTGCATAAAATGTGCATACAATACAGAAATCTAGTGGAAACTGATATTGTTTGCAATGGAAATGGGAAAAATTATGAAATCCAAGAGCAATGTACCATACAGACTTCTGTGCTTGATTAAATTTGATTTTCTTCAAATACAAGAATAGCTTTGGCAGACCAGACTGTAATATGGAGTATGCAGAGGCGATGTCCAGACTCATACAGACTCCCTTTGACAAAACTGCTACTTGGGTCCATCTCCCTGCATACACTTGCTGCAGTTTTTCTGCAACTGCCAGCCAGAGGAACTGTACTGTCTTAAGGAAAAACACATTTAAGATTTGTTTTTTTAAACCACGGGCCAAAACTTGTGCTTGAACCCATGAATGGGTTCATGGATATCCATCTTTCTGTTTTGCCTCACTTGTAGAAGATAAGCAAAGCCAATGTTTGAATAGCCAGTACAGAATTTACCCATAAAGGTCAAGAGTTCTATGTCTTCAACTCATCAGTTTTGCATATTGATGATATTCTTCTTGTGATCTATGTCATAAACTATTAATCATACTTTTATAAAAGAACACAGAAGCAAAAGTGGCTTAAACATAAATGTGATAAAGAAGAATGAAGTACCTCTGCAGCTTTCATTGGATGAAGTTCATCACCATGGAAGTTAATCCGTAACCCTATATCTTTTCCAGCCTGAAGAATTCTTCTGGTAGAATTTAGATCAAAGACTCCCTTCTCACAGAACACATCTATATTGTTAACATGGATTTCACCACTTAGGTCAAGTTCCTTCAGTTTAGGGAGATGGTTATTGATAATGTCATCTGTGGCTTCAGTAACATTTTTCCCTCTAATGAAAAGAAAATGTCACTAAGGCATAAGAATAATATCTTTGAACTTTCCAGTATTTTTAAATCATGCCCTTAGAAAAAGACTTTTAGTAAGTGCCTGAGTAGCTATATTTTATAATTTTTTTTACTTGAGTTGATATTTCCAGTCTTCTCTATAACATTCTATTTCCATTGTTAAGCGGTTTATTATTACATTTAAAAACGAAAAGCAACAGGAAATATTGTGATGTCATATAAACACAAGAATTAGTCCTGATATCTTTTTAAAGGGAAAGTATGCTTGCTATCTAGATTATACATAAACCAGATTTCCTTAGATACTAATCAAAATGTGTGACCTTTAATACTACAATATTCTTCTACTTTCCTATTTTTCCATTCTAACTTGCTAAGATTTTATCCTTAGAAGCGACTTCCAAATACTTAATTTTGGTTTTTACTCAAAAGTTACCTATACCTCATATAGCAATGCTAAGAAGGCCCTTTTGCAGAAAAATGACTTTAAATATACTTTTCTGTTTTAGTATGTCATTCAAACTCGCTGCTGGTTTTGACTTGGAGCTTCCCAACAATAGACTGCTGCTAATTTCACAACCTCTTAGGCACCGGAAGATGGAACTGCCTTATAAGAGTTTGGGTTTTACTTTGCACCTTTGAAATATAAAAATGATAGTGACACCCTGAAACTAAGTATCTAGGGTAGCATCTGGTCTTTAATTAGGTCATTGTGAAACAGCGCAACAGCATTATATGAGTGCCATATGTGGTTGATGTTTGGAGTTTTTCATTGACAGTAAATTCATGCAGCAAAATTCTGCTCACATTTATAAATGTGGCTGCATGGTTATAAACCAGACCAGATTCTGACAAACTGCTTTTCCTCCTTGTTGTAACAATCCTGAGGGCTGGTTTGGCTTTTGCCATATCTACTCACCACCCTCTCTTTTCTTCTTTTGGCCTGACAGTTTGTAGAGGGGGTGGAGCTGAAGATTCATTCTAGAGCTAAAAGGGAGGAAAGATGAGTCTGTTTCTACTCTTTTTCTTCTGTTTGCTGTTAAGGCCTCCCAAGTGATACACTGAAGACTGTAAACATTCTAAAACGAGATTTTCACTCTGGATATCGCTTTCAAAAATGTTTGCCTGGAGAGAAAGGGATCCAGATCCACAGTACCAACCCCTCCCTGTCCTCTAAAAAGCCTGCATCAGCACCTGAAAATCATGGGATTAAAAATAAATATTTGGTCTTTTTACCTGACTTCTGGATTGAACTGTTAGGGTTTTCTTTATTTTCAGCTCATTTTTACAATCCCAGATTGGAAACTCATGTTAAAGTGAGGGATTTAAGAATCTCAGCCCCTCTCTTTCATTACAATCCTGGAACCTGAGGCTTTCATTTTTTTCCCATCATTCCTAACACTGAACGTACTTTGAGGATTTGGAAGCCACCCGTTTCACAGTCACCAAAAATGAGCACCACATTATCCCTTTATTGTTGGGGTTAAAGCATCCATGGCTTTGACCCAAAAAGGGAAGAATTTGAGGAGTTCAAATTCTAATCTAGGCCCAGGCACATGAACTGAAGAGAACAGAGTATAGTTTTATGAAACCAAAGACTGCAATGACAAAGGGTACAAACACCCAGGTTTACTCCAGAGTCATGCATGCCACATTTTGCTCTGCAGGCAGGTTTCTTTCTGGAGTAAGGAGTGTGCAAAGCAGCACTTTATAATACCTGGCTATTAGGTGGCAGGAAAGCCAGTTTGCATGGAGCAAACAGATATCCTGGACTGAAATTCACAATGGCAGTGAACACATTGTTGCATGTACATCAGAGGCACTTTCTCCACTGTAAATTTACACTTCTCCAAATGTTTTGTACTGTCACTGCACTGGCTTTTCTCCTCAAACCTGAAGGTTTGCATTTGAAAGCTTGTATCTCTATCCCAATTATGCAGCTGGTCCAATAAGAGATCACCCAAAGAAATCCTTGCATCTTGCATAATTCCCAGACCATCATGGTTACAGCATCACCTGAACACTATCATAAAATGTTTGGCGTTTTTCAGTCAGCTTCTAGTAGTTTTTATGTTTAACCCTCTTCCAGTTATTAAAGTTGGTACAATATTCCTTTTGGATATGTGCACTAATTAACAAAGGACATTTTACACTAAAAGAAAATCTTAAATTAGGGAGAAATAGATAATATCAAACGATGACAATCAAAAGTACTGTTATGTAGCTGACTCCCAGGATCTGTGTCATCGAAGGGGATGCTGCACACAATATTTATTGTTTTAATGCATTCTTCTACCTTGTAGGTTTCTTTTCTGAAGAGGAGACCCTAAAAACATCCTTCCTATGGGGGGAATCAGAAACTGCTCAGGATAACTGCATGCCTGTTGGCTGAATCCATTCAATTTCTGCATAAAACCCAATGATCTGATATTTTTCATAGCTGGCACTGCTGCACCAATGCAATCTCCGCTACTTTAAATTCTGTTAAGCATTGATTTTGAATGCTGGTGTTTCAGGTGCACTTTGTTGCCACAAGACCAACTAAACTCTATTACAGCTTTCTTTACCTGACACCTGGCTCCTCTCCTTAAAATCTGGAAAATATGCCATCTCTTTGCAGTTCATCTGCTGAAGACCCATTTTCATATTTTATGAAACAACATGAAAGCAAGTGTTTAAAAAAACAAAAAAAATCACTTTACTTAGGCACAGAATGAGCTCCACAGTATGTCGAGGAGATGCTGATGTCCAGTAACCGTTTAGCCCGTTCAATCACTCTGAGCATTTTAAGTTCTGTTTCGAGGTTTAACCCATATCCACTCTTACACTCAACCAAAGTGGTTCCTGCTCTGATCATACGTAACAGTCGGTGTTTGAAGGTATTGAACAGCTCTTCTTCTGAGGCTTTCTGGGTGTGTTCCACAGTAAAATGTATTCCTCCCCCAGCTTGGTGAATATCCATATAGGAAGCACCTGCCAGCTAAAGCAAAATTATCAATTAAATGTGGATTTTTATTTTTATTTTTTTCAAGGGCTTCTGAGGAGTTGTTGGCCTGTTCTACAGTGGATACGGGTAACCAGCTACAAGATGGAATTAAAATGTGGGAAACTCTCTCATGGAGGCAATAACTCAGCCTGGATCTGGTCTGCTACTGATGGGGAAAAAAGGAAGTTAAATGCACCAGGAATTGATCAGAAAAGGTAATTGGGTAGTTCTTCCCATGCTGTAGCTCCTTTGGGCCAGTTAAATAAATGCAAAGAAATACCAAAGCCGGAGGCTGTCTGCCAGACATGTCTAAGTACCATTACCCGCCTCTGGACTAAGAAGTGTTCTGGCATAGGCCACGGGCATGACCATTCTGCCCCACTGTAATTGCAGCAATGATGAAAGTTTGGGAAGCACTCAGAGCTTCCTTGGTCCTGCATCTGTGCTGGATCTGGCCCCTGAAAGACGAATAGTGTTGCCAGGCTGCAAGAGAGAAGCACGTCAGCTCTGAAAACAATCTTCCTTGCTGGCTGAATCCAATGCGATTTCACTATCTCCTTCACTATGAGCCAGCACCTAGTAAATTAGACCATGAGTGTCCCTGGCAGGAGAACAGCAGCATGTCTGAGTCCTGCCTTATGCCTAGGTTAGACAGAAATTTCCTCAGAGGTGGAAGAACTGTAGGAAGGAATGTCTTTTAGAAGACCGTATCTCCTTGTTTTAACATAGATTTGAAGGCACAAGTCAAATTAACCTCTGCCTATAACCCAAATAGTTTAAAAATGGCTACCAGGGGAAGAGGAAGCAAGTGAGAATGAACTGGATTTTGCCTTGCCATGAACAGTTATTACTATTGGTTCTGTCTTCTGTTTTATTTTTGACATCGTCTTGACTAGAAGTTGAATTCAGCACCTGAATATGACTGTATTATCCCTTCAATAGGGACAGCTTTACCATAATGTCAGTAGGAACCCTTTTGCCAGGTTGAGATGCCAGAATTAAGTTATCCCCATCTCTCTACTTCTCAGAATCAATTAACTAGCATCTCTCCTCTCACATAGGAAAACCATATTATCATTAATTCTGTTTATTATTGTAGTTCCTGACAAGCCAACAGAGACTGGTACAACAACTGTGCTAGGTGCATTACAAACAGTGTATGAGATGGTCCCTCCCTGGAAGTGCTTAATAATAAATAATAAGCTCACTCTCAACCTTTGAAACCAAACACTGATTTAAAACAAAACAAAACAAACAAAATGTCCCAATGCCACTTCTCTTCTTTCCCTGGATTTCCCTTTCCTTTTTCCTTTTTAATTTCCCCTTGTTTTTCCCATCTCTCTTTTCTTTTGCTCCAGTCCCCTCTCTTTCTCTAAAGCCATCTATTATTCTCCCATTCCTTATTATATATGATATGAATGACTATCTTTTGCAGATGAAAACAGGGCTTTAGAGAAAGCAGATATAGTTTGGTGTGATAGCAAACCATAGGAACAGAAAGAAAAACCCTGTAAATATAGGAAATTACCTTCATTGCAAACTCATGGACCCTGTCCCCAGCCCACACTGGATGGGTATGAGCATCTACTAAACCTTAAAAAAAAACAAACAGAAAAAATTAAAACATGCACATGCGAGCAAATTAAAGACATGGTATCAATTCCAACTCCCCAAACTAAAACAAGCAAGCATATAAAAAACCCTGGGTCGGACTTGATGATCTGCTCAGGTCCCTTCCAACCCTACCAACTATGAAACTGTGTATTTCTGTCCAAAAAGATTTTAAGTCACATTGTTACCCCCCCAAAAAAATCTATACACGAGATCCAAGATTACAAGAAGCGTAAATATTTTTGCCTTTTTCCGGGTTATTTTTAGTGAAGTTGGTGACAGCTTGTATAGCGATTCCCTGTTTCTCTGACACAGGAGATCAATCAGTCTCCTGTGGGTCATTTGCAAAACAAAATGAGAAATATAGACACGTTTTTAAAAAACAGGGAAACTGTCAGAGAACTAATAGAAGTAGTACTTGAATGCATTTTTAACTCATTTTGAAACTGATGACTTGATTTCAATAGGCACCCTTTTAAAAGTATAAACTGCATACGTTGTCATTAATCTGGCAGTATTCAGTTGACTTCAATGGGAATCGTCCATGAGTAAAGACTGTGAAATAAGTCCCATGGCATGCTGGAATCCATGTTGAAGAATATTGTTACCTACCTATAATGCTCAAATGATCAGCTTGATTTGTAAAGATAATGTGCTTGCCCAGATTTACTTTACCTCTAACGACATTTTCAAAAGTGCCCTACTATTTCAGGTTCCTAAGTGCCATGGACTTTGACCCACAACCACCAGTCTGAGGGCAAAGTGGGGTAAGAAGGTGTCATGGATGGACTGCTGGTAGACAGAGCAAGGATGGAAAATGGTAGGGAACCAGCACTGCTTTGACTTGCCACTCCTAACTTGCCAACAAGTTGATTTGAGCCAGTGTAGAGCAGGAAGTAATTGGTTGGTATTGGGATGGAGTAGCAGCAGAATACTTTCCCCCTCAGAGTGAAGCCAAGAATGGCACTGTAGTCATCAGAGTCACAAGTCCACCCTTGGACTGCTCCTGGCAGCAGAAAAAAAATATGTGCCACTCCTCACAGAGGGCTCCAGGTACAGTGACAATCTGGGCCTTACCATACTAGATAAAAAAGACTTTTCTGGTGTTTTGTAAGTGGATACTTTGCAAAGTTAAAATATCACTGACGAAAATAGAACCAGGCCTAATGAATGAGAGTTTAGGAAATTGAGGTGCCCATGCTTTATCTGAATACATAGTCAGCCAATCTCTTCTGCATCACTAAAATTAAGAAAATACACGAACCTGGCAATACGCATTTTCCAGAACAGTCAATTATTTTTTCAAATGATGTTTCTGAAAACTGCCTGCGAATAGCATCAACAGGGCCTACAGCTTTTATGCAGCCATCTCTGTAAGCAGCAAACAAACAACAAAAAAGCATTAGTTTATTTATACATCAAACTCAACCAAGTTGTACATGGAGAGAAGCGAGGTCATTATTAGCAGGACTGCAAAGATGGACAGGGCAAGTCACTTGCTAATTCAGTGGATGTTTAAAAATACATGTATTATTCTGTTGACATTTTAAGGTACCTGTGATGACCCAGGCCTCTCCTCCCCATGTCATTTTAGATTCAGAAGATGATAATTTTAGGGCCCTTTGTATTGGGATTAATACTTATTTGTACCCTGTAACTCAGAGGTCAAATATTAACATGCTCATTATCCTTTCATACTGTTCTTATCAAATTCACAGGAAACAACTTCAAATTCTTGTTCCAATACTGAAATTATGTTTAATATTTACTAGAAGATTTTGTTTTCTTTCTGATAGATAGAAACTATTGTAGACCAGCGGGTCAGCAAATGTATGCCATGCCTCAAGTCAGTATCTGCACTGGAATAGGACTGCAAAATGTAAGTGCCAAAACTTGCGGTTACGCAGCTGGAAAAATATAATGTAGGCATGTGAAGTGAAATAGGATTCTTCCCTTGGAATCTAGATAGATAGACCTTGCATGAATTAGAGAGCAAATGCTAAAAAAGGCACTGTCAGGTATCACAATACCTGTGTACTTTTATTCAACGACTATGGTAAAGGAAATTAAAGTTAAATATTAAGAAGGACTTTCTCACTATGAGGGTGGGTAAGCACTGGAACAGGTTATCTGGAACAGCATTTCTCAACCCATGGGTCATGACCCACAAGTGGGTAGCAAGAACATATGATGGGGTTGTGAGGAAACTTTAAAAATTGCTTCTCGTTTAAAAGAGAAAAACATGGGAAACTGCTGGTTTCCCTTTGCAGGCTGGCAACATTCCAGTCTGCCAGGGGCTGCGGAGAGGGCAATCAGGCAGGGGCAGCCATGTGCAAGTGGACATGGCAGCCAGGCAGTGTGGAGAAGCTCCCGCAGCTTCTTGCAGATAAGTCTATGGGCCAGAGGGGCAGGAGCATAGACACCGTGTCAGGGGGCAGAGGGGAAAAGGTGACACTGCTCTCTACCCCACCTCCTTTCTGGGTTAGAGCTGTGGCCTGAAGGGAGCGGCTGTGGCAGTCAGGGTATGGCAGCAGGGTACAGCCACAATCCAGTGCACAAGCAGCTGGCAGCGAGACAAGGTGACGGCAGCGCGGCCCTCCCTGTGCACCGTCCATTGCTTTTTGCACTGCTCTGCCCTCCTGCACTGAGTCCTGCCCATGCTGGTCAACTCAGGCTGCAGCCTCATGCCTGCTGGGGGTGCACAAATCTGCAGGGGTGGCATATTCCCCGCCACGTCCCACCCCTTCCCTTGCCCCACACACTGTGGGGCTGGGGCCAGTAAATTGGGAGTGCAGGGCACCAGCCAGGCTACGGAGTGGCGGACTGTGGGTTGGGAGTGAGGGGAACCGGCAGGGCCAGGGGGCCGCTTTCTCTTTAGGTTGGGACTGGCCATCAATGTTTACAGATGGGTCCTGGTCCAAAAATGAACCACTGATCTAGAAAAGTTGTGGAATCTCTACCACTATAAGTTTTTAAGCAGGTTAGATCAATGGTTCGTAACTTTTTTTTGACTCATGACACCTCCGGGAAAATGTCAATTCTTAGTTTTCACTCAATTTTTGACTTCAGAAACATAATACAGAAAATCTTGTCTTAAACAGCTCAGAAAGACAGAGTGTTTTTAGCACTATGGAGTCCTAGTTGAAATTTCTAGGATTACCTTGTTAATTGTGTTTGCACACCTAACAGTGTTAACACTGTCTGACATCCTGTGGCACCCCTGAAAGGATCTCAAGGCAACCCAGGGTGCGATGGCACCCTGGCTGAGAATCACAGTTAGATAAACACTTGTCCAAAATATATCCTGCCTTGAGCATGGAATTGGGCTAGATGACCTCTTGTGGTCCCATCCAGACCTATTTTTCTATGAACATGGGTCTAATTACAAATTTGGGACCTTCTTAGCCTAGACTGATGGAAAAAGAGTTATACAAAGAAAGTACAACAGCTTTATTTTGTCTACATAATGTCTCTAACCTCCAAAGTCTGACATGCCTCACCAAGTCTTTACAAGTGAGTAAAGACATCAGTGGCTCAAGTCCTCCATGAAACTGATTGTCTGCTTACATCTTCGCAGGTTGGAATACTAATTTTCTAGCTAATGAGAATGATTATTTTAGAATTTACACTATTTTTCAGCATACTTACTCCAAACTAACTGGCATGGCATGTCACACCTTCCACACTACAAAAACACTGCACCTTTTTATGTCACAGTTATTAAAACACCCAAGCCAAGGGGTATTCTTTTTAAAAGAACTAAGTATATATTTTTTCCCAAATTAGATTCCCTTCTGTTAAAGAGCTAATATTACGGATCTCCTTTTGCAGCTTTTCTTCTTGGGTGCATTCATCCACATTAAGAACAACACATCTTCTCTTTTCCAGCCATAAGCTGTGAGTCAATAAGCACCTGGAAAATCTTCTTCTGAACTGAATCTTTTCAACGCAGACATTGTTAACCTGTTGAGTCCGACGTTATGTAGAAGGCAAAGGCGATTTCCACCGTATAGAATACGCAGAGGAGCGAGCGAGCGCACAGGAGTTGTGGGCTGAAGCTCAGTGATGAAGTGAGCTTCAGTCCCTGAAAGCTTGTGTTATACCTATATGTATAGCTGTAGATCTATCTATAGATACTGATAGGTAGACAGCGATAGCTAAAATATTGATAAACAGCAATAGCTAGCAATAGATATCTATAGATCTATCTATAGATAGGTATCTTCTGAGATAGGTAGAGACATGATAGATAGATAGATAGATAGATATCTCCAGATATGCAACTGCAGATAACAGATATCTCTAGACAGGTGTCGTCCCCCCCCACCCCCATAGATCTATTTATCTATAGAGATAGATTTAGACAGCTAGATGTAGATACACAGATCCCCGCTGATAGAAGACAGCCAGGTATGTCCAGTCAGACAGATCCAGACGGGCGTCTCCAGCTCTAGTAAGTCTAGCTGGCTCTAGGCACCGATCTAGTCGTACCTGTAGCTGGACAGCCCGAGCCGCATGCTGCAGGGGCGCGGGTGCCCGCGCTGCGCTCCCCCC